CTCTATAACTCACAAACTATTAAATCTACACGCTTATGGGACCTCGGGTATATCTAGAATCCTAAATTAAATAAATATAATTATAATAAAAACCTCGATTGGTATCTAGGTCGGCTCGGTCGTGCTATTTTTATCACTCACCGCATCATTCATCAAAAACCTAGGCCACCTCAAGTTAGACATTGAAACGTACCTACTATATACGGAAAATTTGACAAAACGTTCCCCGAAATCGTACGTGCATATACAATTTCCCATTTGATACATGACTGAAAAATAAAAGGTGTCGAGGATTGTTCTACTTACAAGAGAGATTATTTGAGACGAATTTTAATTGAAATGTGCTTGTGATATTGCGATGTGCGGAAAGTAAAAACCGACTTTAAGCATCTAAGTCGAATAAAATAATTTTCAGATAAAAGCTTCAGAAGTCAGTGTTTAGACATAGTGTATGACTTCAGAAGCATCAGCGACTGTGCGTCGCCGCGGATGACAAGAGGGCTAGATTTCAGCGAAGCTTTGATACATAGGTCTCACACTTAGATTGCCTCACAGATGGGATATTTACCATAATTGCCACGCTTGGTAGGCGGGTTGGCCGCAATATTTCAAGTTTTTATGCCCATCTCCTGGCTTGATTCCCTCTGTCGCCTTTTACGACCCCCTCAGGACGATATGGGGTAGTGGATATTCCCACACCGCCTCTACATAGCATAATACTACTTCATATAATAACTACCTAATAATAATTTCATAAAATAAAATGCACTGTATATTTAATATAACGGTACGTACACATCTTAACAATGATTCAGTTGCCCACTGTTGCTTCTTGTTGCCCCACCACCACCAAGGACGATATTGGGTAGTGTATGTTTTTACACCGTCAATGCACAGTCTACGTAAAATGTTATTATTACTTTGTAAAATGTAAGGAATTTGAAAATGAAATTGTCCTCAATTTCATTATCTATGAAAGTCTTATGCAGCGACACTACATCTACTCACTTCGTTATGGCTATTAATGTTCAGTTTGCACTGAATTTCAATAGGAATTGAGTTTTACATCGAAGATCTTGTGAAGTAGTGCTTTGAAGCGCTAATAGGAAACAATTTATCTAGTTGAATTCCATGAATTAGATAAATTGTAATAAAGATATCCGCAGTAGACCTAGAGTAACTGATCAGTAAGCTGAAGTGGCATTAGGCCGGTCATAGAAGAGTCAATAAGAAGAAGAAAGTTTCTCGAGTGGCAACTTCGTACCGGCAATCGGTAGTGTAGGACGGCCTCTACAAAATGAAGTGATGATCTTTTAAGAAACGCATGTAGTCGTTGGATGTAAGTGGTACAGGACTACGTCAGTCTCAATGGAGACCAGCCCCAGCTGCGCAAACACAGGTGCATTTTCAATTCCCTCGCTCACACTATTCGATTCGGCATACCACACACTTCCACTTGAATTCTTAAAATGTCGTCCACGCTCAAATTTCGGTAACGGCAGCCAGTCTTAACGGAGACTAGCCATCTGCGCAGGACAGGATTAGAGTGTCTGAATGTATAAGCACAGATGCTCTCTCTATTTCTTCACTCTTACTATTCGATAGAACAATGGGAGAGAGATCAGACCCAGAACCGACGGATTTATGTGCTTTCCGAACACGGGGATGAAGAACCGCCAACTTCCTGACTCCTAGCTGCTACCAAGAATTTCTAGACAGAAAACATTATGATTACCAGTCGCTGGTAACACTAGCTGGTAAAACTCCTTAACTGCCTAACAATCTGTCTGGAGTAGTACCGAACTCTACCTATTTCCGACGTTAAATAGTTTGTTGCACTGGTGTGTGAGCTTGCACTACCGTGTATCAGTCTGAAGGTTAAAGAGAGCCAGTATAATTACATTGTCTAAGGTATTCCATCTTATTCTTCAGAGGAGACAATGCATAACCTTCTTTGTATGAAGTTGGCGGCAGGTGTCCATGGACTACAGTAGCTACTTACCATAAGATGGACTGTAAGTTTGTATGTCACTTAAGTTTTATAAAAAAAGAGCAGTTAAGGAACATGTATTCTTGTAAAAAATAAATATACGTTTTACAAATTACATAATTTTCATATTTAATTCGCAGTTAGCACTACAGATTTCAAAATTCAAGTTTCCATTACGGCTGGGAAAGACTCGGTGAAGTTTACAGACATTACTCCCTTGAAATACGCGCAAGCTCTGAATTTCGAGAAACTCCTTTACATAGAATGGAAATAAACGAAATATACTCAAGTCTAGAAGACAAAACGCAAATACTTAAGCTATGTAAAGTTCTCTTTCTTGTATATTTCATTCTCGAGTAGTTACGTTGCGTCAATACTAGACTTTGTAGTAACAATGTAAGCGACTCTAAAAAAAGGCTCTCGGGGTGAGCCTCACACCTAGAGAGCGCGTCCCCAGGCGGCGGATAGGGGAACACTCGGCATCGCTGTCGGGTAGGAGGGAAATAAAATACCTCCCGCGGACCAACAGGCCGGAGAAGGAAACTCCGTTATCAAACCCCTGCTACGAGCTGCTTCAACATATTTGTAGTTAAGATTGTGAGAAGTGCTGTTTTCTTAGGCTGGAGCACTACAGAAGGGACGGCGGCGGATAAGCTCATGATGAGTCAACGGCGGCGCCCGCACCCTGGAAGGGGGTGACAGTCTTGGCGTCAGGTGGCAACCGGCCGTAAAAATACACTGCCAAAATAAAAAAATCTCCTAGTATGAAAGCAAAGCATAAAAGAAAAAATATAAGGGCTAGGGCGTACCCCTCAAGCGACGACCAAATACGATCCCAAGCGAAAAATGCTAAGGCGTCCCCTGTAAGCGACGAAACAAAACGCAGCGCGAATAATTTGCGTATAGCCACATGGAACATCGGTTCCCTTACCGTATGCAGTCAAGAATTAGCAAACATATGGCATGCACGAAATATTAACATATGTTGTATACACGAACTCAAATGGAAAGGGTTAAAATCCAGGGATATTGGTAGAAACTATCAACTATTGTATAACGGCACATCTTGGACAAGGAACGGAATCAGCATCATCCTCGACGAAACATTACAACAACGAATAATCAAAGTAGAAAGAATAAGCGACAGAATTATGTACGTGAAATTAGCTTTAGACAACAAATTAACTCTTAACATAGTCTCAGTATATGCCCCTCAAGTTGGATGTAGCAATGAAGAAAAAGATCTGTTCTGGGGAAACCTAGAAGACCTTTTCGTTCCTTTAGACGAGAAAAAATTATAGCAGGGGGATTTGAATGGCCATGTAGGTATTCAAGCACCTGAAAACTCAAACATACATGGAAATTTTGGATATGGCACCTCTAATAGCCAAGGTCAGGATATAATAAATCTAGCGACCCAATTTGATCTCCCGATCGTTAACACTTACTTCCAAAAAAAAGATGAACATCTCATCACCTACAAAAGTGGTGGTTCGGCCTCTCAAATAGAGTTTTTTCTTTGTGACAGATCGATTCTCCGCAATTTTAGGGACTGTAAAGTCCACTGTACCACTGTAAAGTCCAGGGATTCCACTAACAACCCAACACAGACTACTGGTAACCTGTCTGAAAATGCCAAACTGGAATACAAAAGAGAAATATCAAAATCATGAACCCCGCATAAAATGGTATAACATACACAAGGATAAAGGCACTTTATTTATTGATCAGGTTGATAAATAATTCAAAGATACTCTTCAAGTCCCAAAAGACAGCAACACTCTATGGAACAAATTCCACATGTTTTGCCTAAAAACCGCCAGAACAACCCTAGGTATTACAAAAGAAAAATTGAGGATTAATAAAGATCCTACTTGGTGGGATGAGAATGTTAAATCTCTGTTATTTGAGAAGAAAGAATCTTTCAAGAAATGGCAACAATCAAAAAGTGACAGCGATCGGCTGGATTACAATATAATTAAAAAGAGAGCTAAAAAATGTGTTGCAGTAACAAAAGCACTATCCAAAGATCACTTTTACAAAGAATTAGAAAATACAAAATCAGACGCAGAAATATTTAAATTAGCAAAACATCGAAATAACCAAACAAAAGATATCAAACGTAACATAGATATCAAAGACTCATCGGGTAAATTGTTAACCGCAAACAAAGAAATTAGTAAGAGATGGCGAGAATACTACCAAACACTACTGAATGAGAAAATTCCACAGGAACCACTCACATCCCTCGGATCCACGGAAGGACCAATTGAGGAAATTTCACCCCAGGAAGTAAAGGCAGCCATTCAAAGAATGAAAAATAGAAAAGCAACCGGACCGGATGAGATTCCAGCTGAACTATGGAAAAATGTGGGCAATACCGGCATAGCATGGCTGACAAATCTATTTAATGTAATCCTTAAAAGTACTTAAATACCGGATATGTGGAGAAACAACAATTTGATACCTCTATACAAAAATAAAGGTGATGTTGCGGACTGTGAAAATTATAGAGCAATTAAACTAACTTCTCAGACCCTTAGATCTGGGAATGTGTCCTCGTCAAAAGACTGGCAAAAATTACAAAAATTACACCGAACCAATGAGGATTCACTAGCGGCGTGGGCACTACAGATGCAATTCACTCAGTAAAAATACTTATGGAGAAGTACAAGTCACGCCAACAAGATCTTCATCTTATTTTCATTAACCTTGAAAAGGCGTTCGACCGAATTCCTCGAGAACTAATCTGGCAAGCACTAAGGGCGCAATTGGTGCAGGAGCATTATATTGTACTCCTCAAAGATCTGTACCACGATGTAATTACAAAAGTGGTCAGCCCAGCAGGGACAAGTGAATCATTCGAAGTCGGAGTAGGGGTTCACCAGGGTTCGACCGTAAGCCCTCTTCTATTCAACCTAGTAATGGACTGTCCATCACTGCGGACATTCAGAAACCAGCACCGTGGTCACTTATATACGCTGATGATGTAGTACTTATAGCCGAATCGATGGCGGAAGTACAATCAGACCTGATAATATGGCAGAAGTGCTTAGAAAGAAGAGGGTTGAGAGTCAATAGAGAGAAGACTGTATATATGTACTGTAACTTTTCTAATGCCAATATTATTGTTATTCCATGTCCTTCTATTGAAGGAAGTCCTCTTAAGAGAGTTGAAGAGTTTAAATATCTCGGATCCATTGTAGTACCAAAGGCATGTATAGAAAGTGACATACAAAATAGAACCCAAACAGCTTGGTTAAAATGGAGATCGCTGTCTGGCATTCTATGCGACTCCCGTATGCCTACTAAAATAAAGGGCAATGTATACAAAAGAGCAGTAAGACCAGCTCTGCTATATGGATCTGAGTGCTGGCCGATGAGAAAGACGGATGAACAGAAACTTCACGTCACTGAGATTAAAGTGCTACGTTGGTCTGGAGGAGTTTCTAGAACAGATAAAATAAGAAACGATTACATTCGTGGTAGTTTTAAGGTTGCTATGGTGCACGAAAAACTTAGAGAAAAGCGTCTACGCTGGTACGGACACGTAATGAGACGGGATGATGACCATATGACTAAAAGAGTTATGAACATAGAAGAGGGGAAGAAAGGCCGTGGACAACCACCAATAACCTGGCTGCAAACACTAAAAAACGACCTGAAATCTACTAACATATCAGAAAGGACAACACACAATCGCACGATGTGGCGCAAGATTACTAGGAGGGCTGATCCCAATTAAAATGGGACAATAGCCAGGGAGAAGAAGAAGAAGAAGAATGATTATGTCACTGTAAAACAAGACGGAGCTTTGTGGAGCTTTGTCTGCCAAAGTAAGCTGCAGTTCTTTAAGAACACTTTTCGTAGAAAAATTTATATTTAAATAACCGCACGAAGTTCTAGTTTCCCCATTTTGCATACGGATCAAACTCCCACCAAGTGTAAAGTTTGAAAAAAAGGATATATAGTTTTTTAATTCATTTCAGTCCTCAGAGGTGACGAAGCATCTTTAGTCTTCGTTGTTTGAAGTTGGTTGCAAGTGTTAACGGATTGCAGAAGCCACTTACCATCGGATGAACTGCAAGTTCGTTTGTCACTAGCTTAAATAAACAAAAAGAAATAATTTTATTATAATTTTAAAAATACAATTGATCCTACTGCCCGTTGCCGATCTGGGTACAGAACTGTTACCGTCATAGTATATTAAAGTACACTGCTGAACATAGGCCTCCCCCATAGATTGCCACATAGAGGGGACATTTGCTATAGTTGCCACGCTTGGCAAGTGGGTTGGCAACTGCGTTTTTCAATTTTAGTCGTTATAAAGAAGACGTTGCTGTCCATCTCCTGATTTTTTACCCTCTGTTGCCTCTTACGACATACATGGGATTTGGGGTATGGGCTAGTGGATATTCTTACAGCACCACTACAGGAACGGATATGTGTGCGGTCCTCCATGATGAAAGACGTAGGGTTGCTAACTCTGAGGGCATAGATTTATTACCCCGTCAACTTAAAGACCCTTTCCAGGGCTGAAACATACCGATACCTGGGTATGTCACAGAATATCAGTATTGAGGAGGCTAGTATGAAACAGTCAGTTGTCGCACAATTTAAAATTTAAAAAATTAAATTTAAAAAATCCTGTGCCTAATCTCTCTCTGGTCGTGTCGCATTACCATCCCATCGGACTATTTTTGTGAAATATGTTTAATACTAGCCTTAGTAAAAAGGTAAATTAGTAATGACAATGCTATTTAACATAACTAATATTCCCTTTAACTTCTCCTGATAAGCTTAAAATGCTTTTATTAGGAGTGGTCACGACAGTAATCGAATGGCGGATCGAACTCACGACCTTTTCAGTTTGCGGTACGTACCCTGCCATTAGGTAATTGAGAATGGGGGAGTAGAGATTGCACCTGCGAATTCGTGTACACTTGGGCTTTATAATCCTGTCTTGCGCAGATAGTTAGACTGCGTTGAGACTGGTCGTAGTTACGGAACTTCGCACTGGAGGACATTTTATTCTATTAAACTTTAAAAAAGGTTGTCATTTAGTGTCAAACTTAGATAAAACGTTTTCAAATTATAAACAAAATGAAACATTTCATAATTTCCGGTTCACAGGCAGGAAGCTGTGAGATCACAAACAAGATATGTATCGATCTGAAACTTTTACAATGATAACAAAGGCTCGTTTTTAATACCCTTTCAATCTGTTTATACAAATACAGTGGTTGGTATGAGTATCTAAACACTTCCAAAAGGATTCCGGATATTTCTATATTTTAAATACAAAACATACTTATATTGTTAAATAAACTAATTTTACGGATCGCGATTAATTTAATTTATTAAACCTATTATTTCTTATATTTATCCCTGCCGTGACCGTGGCACTAAAGCACCCAAAAAGTCAGGAATTAAAAACAAGTTAATTTAAATGTGATGAAATCCGTTAAGTTGGTTTTATTCAATGTTAAGCAATCATGAAAAAAGATGGACGTTATGAGGTAGTGGATATTCTTACAGTTAAACTGCAGAATTCTCCGTCTATGTTCATTAATTTGCTGTTTTCCGAGTTTAAATTATCTATTTCAGCATGCGCTATTTGTAGTTGCTTCTGTAATTTTAATATTTGCTCTTTGTAGCACTCACTGTCCTCGTTATATAACTGTTCAGTGGAAAAAATCTGGCAAGCTTCTTGCCAGATAATCTAAGTTGGTCGATATAAATGACATGTTTGGTGATTCATTTAATTTTTTGGTCTTTTGAGAACGAAAGTTAACATTTTGGTACTCCATTTCAGTCTTTATAAACTTCAAGTTTTTGTAAATTTTCTTTCTGTATAGTAATGTTATTCAGTGCCCTCTTTCGGCTTGTCATAGTACCGTATTAGTATTATAATATCGATCAACTGTGCTAGTTTAACGACACGTCGATAGATGTCGTAAAATATTTTTGTTCACAAATGAGTTGACTGGTTTTTGAATTTTGTAACGATTTATACTTACCACATACACTTTTCAAAAGATTATTTGATCTTTTTATGCACTGAAAAATTATTTTATTAACTATAAACTGTTGTCCATAGGGATTTACAAAACTTTTAAGCACTTTTATAGTTAATTCTTATGTCGAATTGATGTTCAAGCACTTAATATTAATTTTTGTTTTAGCTGTTATTATTATATCATTTTCTTTGGATTACACTTTCACATGTAATTTAGATTTCACTTTAACTAATTTAACCAAATATATGGCTAATAATTTACTTTAACTGTTTTTATTAGATAAAATTTACAGAAGGCTTTATTTAACTTGTTTACTCACGCCGCGACCCAGAAGTAAGGTAGATCGGAAGATCAGCAACTGATCGACCCCAACAAATACCGTATTGGTGGTCACTAATCAGCTGGTGAACCTCGAGGTGCCGCATGAGCTGGCAGTAATGGGTTTCATTATTTTGGAGAACAAGGAACTATGAGATACGCCTGTAGTTAGACGGATTTAAGCGGTCGCCTTTTTGGGGGATTGGGCGGATGAAAGCCGTCTTCCCTGATTTCGGGACTACGTCTAGGGAGTAGGGGTACCGGAGAAGGTGCACTACAACCAGTGCCAACTCTGGAGCACATGTCCTCAGCACAATTGGAGGGATTCCGTCAGGCCACTCGACTTGTGAATGTCCAGGAAGAGGAGTGCTTTGCGAACTGAGCGCTGTGTGAGCCGCATATCCGGCATGGAGAACTCACACCGCGGAATGGTCGGCGGTGTGCTCCCCCACCATTGAAAGTCGAGTTAGACGCAATGAAAGAGCCTAGCAGGTCGGCTTTCTGCTTTGCGGCATGAGCCAGTGAGTTTTCCCCCTTGTGCAAAGATGGAAAAGATTGCTGAAGGGAATTCCCTTGAACAACCTGCAACCTGCCTGAGGTGATCGAAACGATGATACTGTCACACGGCTTCCACCTCCAGTGCATGGGCTAAGGCATCCTTAAGCGTCTCATGGTGCCCGAGCCTCACAGCAGCTCTGACTTCAAGGTCGCGAATGCCGTCGATGAATGTCTTCACCAGGCCCCCTTCAATGAGCGCAGGTACAGATTGGTATGCTTTTCGAACCAGCTTCTCCACCTCAAGGTCCCACTGCTGCGGGTTTTCGTTGCATGTTATCTTTTAGCTGCGCACGAAAGACCTGTTCCAAGTGAGCGTCGCCATATTTCGCCTCCAATGCCTCAAGAAGCTGCTCGTAAGTCACCCTTCCGAGATCTTCCAGAACAGTTAAGGCCTAGGATGAGAGCAGTCATGGCCTGACTTTTATTCCAGCCGTTTGCCTTCATAACAGCCTCAAACTGGATTTTATGGGCTGAGCAGAAAGAAGTCCCGTCGAACGGCGGCAATTTGAATACACGTAGCGAAGGTGTTTTAGCTATCATGGGAGCTGTAATTCCATACCCAAGTTTGAGGTCATCTAGCGTTATCTTCATGTCAGCCTTCACATTTTCAACCTGATTGTTCACTTCTAATTTTAGAATTCGTTTTAAAAGTAAGCTCCTTTTAAAATGAATTCTGAAATTTATGCCTCACTGCTGCATAGCCAGATTTGTCTTTGTTAAGGGACTAAAAAGTGGGAAGAAAATCGTGGCATTACAGTTCCAGGGAGCAATGAATTGTTAGACGAGCAGGTTTCCTTATGATCTATTATTTATATAAAAAAGTGTTCCGTATGATGGGTGTAGAGAACCAGTGACACTTTTTCTTGGCAAAGAGACATTCTATCTTAGTGCTCATGGAATGAACACCCATCCACATTTTTATTTCTTAGTTGAGAATGGATTGAGATGTCTATGGGCCACAGCATTCACTTACCATCAGGTGAACTCTTTGCTAGTTTGTCACTCTAGTTCTACAAAATAATAATTAAAAGCACATACCGGCGATAGGATGTAGCTTCAAAGTACACCTTTGTTACGTCCAGTTATTCTGGGAGATGATAATTTGGTCAAATTGCCTGCCAAACGTAAGAATAACAGTTATCTTTCCTATAATATCCATGATGTATATCCAGATTCTCTTTATATTTGAGCATAAGGTAAATTGTAACACTTGCAATTGCGGTTTAGCAATTTTGTGTCAAACACCCTGCTCTAGCACTATAAAATTTTCAAAGGGAATGCCCAACACCTTAGCTACCACATATATACTACAAACTTTTATAAATATGAAAGGAAGTAAAAGCATAAAGAAAAAGTAAAAGTACTTTTAGCATTTAATGATTTCTTATATTTACACAAGAATAATCGCTGAGAATAAATATGATACACGCAGTCAAATTGGCGTCCTAACTGAAGTCGAGATGGGCAGGACATGTGGCCAGAATCAATGAGGGGGCGGGCGCGCTGGTGCGCGACGTTGTAGAGGTGGCAGGAGAAACGTGGACCAGGCTAGCGGCAGATTGGACCTCGTGGAAATGGTTGAAGGAGGCGTTCACCCGGAAATAGTATATTGTATAAAAACATAAAACAATAACATATTATGATATTGTTTTATGTTTATAGCCAAAGTCAGTTGATTATTAGTTTCAATTTTAATTATATGTTATGAGATAAAATTAATTAAGGGAAAAAACAAATTGCCACTTACTTAAATAGAAAATGCTTGTTTACTCTAACGTCATTTATTACAACGGGAAACAAACCAGAAGAGGGGCAGAATCGTGTTCCCAATTGACGGCTCCGTGGCGCA